CCTCCATCCCTGTGTGTCTGCAGCCCCAGACCATCTGCTCAGTAAATAGGGAGGCATTTCTGGCAGCCCAGGGGCTCTGGGAGCTGATCCCAGCAGTGCCCAGCTCCGAGCATCCCCTTCCCTCCCCAGGCTTGCCTGCGCTCCTGTTTCCAGAACCACATGGTGGAGATCTGTGGCTGTGGGCATTACATGTTCCCTCTGCCTGAAGGGGTGAATTACTGCAATAATGAGGATTACCCAGGCTGGGGTAAGAGCTGCTGGGGGTTCCTGGGGGGGAGAGGGGTCTGCTGCTGGTCCCTTGGGCACCAGAGGCACAGAACACGGGGTATCACTCCAGGCCTCTGCACCCAAAAATTTTAGGTCTCCTGGCGGGGGCAATGGAGGGTCCAGTGCTCCCCTGGGGTGGCACAGCTCTGTGCTGGCAGAGGCCAGGGCTGTGCCAAAAACACCAACCCTGGGCAAGCTGGCTCTATAAAAACTGTCTTCAGAAAGTTACCGTTTATTTTTAATTTATTATTAAATTGTCTGAGTGTTTTGCCCAAGTTTCTCAAGGAAAGGAAAGTTGAAAGGGAAGATGGCAAATCTGTGCAGAAGGGTCATACCTAATATTTATTTTGATAAATGAAACTGATATAACTCAGTAACTGGGTCCTCGTCTAAACTTTAATTTGGTTTTCACCAAACAGCATATTGCTATTCCTCACTAACATCCAGCATAAAGCAACGTCAGATCTGCATTGACTCCTGCAAAGAAACGTGCAAGTGAGTACCTGAGCCTGATGTGTGCTGTGCAGGTAAAGGGATCCTTTTGTCTGATTCCCATCAGTCCTGACTTTCCTAAAAGGGCAGCAAACCCCGCAGGGCTGGCTTGCTCTGTGAGAACTGAAGTTCCAGAGACTCAAGAGGGGAAATCTCCAGACTAACGCTGTCTGTGTTCCCTCCAGTGACACCCAGTACAAAATGACCATCTCCATGGCAGACTGGCCATCAGAAGCCTCTCAGGTAACCCTGATTCCCTGGTTTGTGGCAGACATTGATGGTTCCTGCTCCCAGCACAGGGACACTCGCTGTGGTCACAGCTGGTGTCTGTATTTTCCCCACACAGCCAGCAGCAGGGCTGGAGGCAGGAGGAGGGACCCCCACAGCAGCTCCTCCCTCCTGGGCTCTGTCCCAGGGCCGGTGTCAGCCCCAGGCTGAGCCCACCTTGCACAGCCTGTGCCCCCCAGGTCCAGAGCATCCCCCTGCACCTGGCACAGGGCACAGCACCCACGGGGCTCCTGCTCTTCTCACAGGATGCCTCTGATCCTTCTCAACCCGTTCTGTTTTCCTAGGACTGGATTTTCCATATTCTGTCTTACGAAAGGGATATGTCAACAAATGTGACTCTGGACAGGTGAGTGAAAGGAACAAGCACTTTATCTTCTGTGCTGAGCCTGTTAACACCAGCCTGACACGAGCCCTGGCGCTGGGCCAGCACAGGGAGGACCAGGTCTGAGCGTGTTCACCTGGGACACACAGCAAGCAGATCCAAAAGGCACTTCATGCATGTCCTGTGCTCTCCAGAGCTGCAGACTGGGTCAGTCAAACTCAAACATGTGGTTAAGTACAATCAGCATCGAGCACAGCTCCGATATCATAACGTTTGTCACTTCATACTCACCACGGTCAGGCTGGAGGTGCAGGACATGGACAGGCAGCCCCTCACTGCTTTTGTTCTTTACAGGAACGGCATCATCAAGCTGAACATTTACTTCCAGGAGTACAACTACCGCACCATCTCGGAGTCAGCTGCCACCACGGTGAGTGCCCTGTGACAGAGAGAGCAGGCACAGGAGGGGACAGGGGATGGCAGGGCTCGGTGCCCTGGGGACAGGGGATGGCAGGGCTCGGTGCCCTGGGGACAGTCTGTCACGTCCCTTGTTCCTCGAGGCTGCTGTCATGAAGTGGATGAAGCCACCTCTGCCTGGTGGCTCAGAGCCCTCAGTTCCCCCACTCCACCTCCCATCCCTGCCCCAGCGCCCCAGGGCAGCACCAGCACAGGAGGGCACCTGGCAGGCAGGTGCCAGGAGCATCCCCCACCTGGGTGATGGGTCAGGGGGGGCAGCTCCGAGGGGCTCCCCTTCCTCAGCTCACTGCGCTCTCCTCCCGCAGATCGTTTGGCTGCTGTCGAGCCTGGGAGGCCAGTTTGGCTTCTGGATGGGGGGCTCGGTGCTGTGCCTCGTTGAGTTTGGGGAGATCATCATCGACTCTCTGTGGATCACCATCATCCACCTGATCAGCTGGTGCAAGGGTCTGCAGCAGCGGCGGGCACGGGCTCGCTACCCAGACGTGCCCCCGACCGTGTCAGAGCTGGTGGAGGCTCACACCAACCTGGGCTTCCAGCACGAGGCTGGGCTGGTGGAGGCTCACACCAACCTGGGCTTCCAGCACGAGGCTGGGCTGGTGGAGGCTCACACCAACCTGGGCTTCCAGCATCACGATGGGGGAGCAGGGCCCGGGGCTCAGGCACTGCCCCCCGAGCCTGGCACGCCCCCCCCCAACTACGACTCCCTGCGGGTGCAGCCCCTGGACACCCTGGGCCCCGACAGTGACACGGACACCGAGTGACCACAGTGCCCTGTCCACCCTGCCAGGCTGTGCCGAGTGACCACAGTGCCCTGTCCATCCCTGCCAGGCTGTGCCACTTGCTGGGCAGCTGTCCATCACCAGTAGGAGGGAGTTAAAAGGCCAAGCTGTCCTCTGCTATGACTGATGGCTGGGAGGAAGCCCTGCCCAATAAACCCTGCAATAAAGCTGGCAGTCAGGCTTTGGCTGTAGTGGAGAGCTCGTGCACATCAGTGTTGCTGTAAAATCACGTCACTGTTTCTCATCACCAGGTGGGTGGGAGCAGGTGATGGCAGGGAGAGGACAGGATGTGCTGACAGTGGATGCAAGGCCATGGCCTGGTGGATCACAGAACCCTGGAAGAGTTTATTGGAAGGGACTTTAAAGACTGTCTGATCCTCTCCCCTTCTCCAGCACTCTTGGCACAGAGTGTGCCACAGCTGTGCCACACCACGGAGCAGAGCCTTGGGACAGGACCAAAGCTACTTCTGACCTCTGGGGCTGCAGAATTTCCATTCCCAAACTACTACAACGGGAACAGCAAAAACTGAGCTCTCCCTTCACTGCTGGAGCCCCTGGGTGCCCTGTGGTGCTGCTGCCCAGGGTTTGTACCCCTCGTGGGGCAGGTGGGCACAGCTCTTGGGGTGTGCCAAGGATACGACTCCACAGAGACTGGGGTGGGAGAAAGCACAGCCTGTTTAACTGTCACTCTTGCAATAATAAAAAATTGATTTCAAAGTCGCCTTTAGCTTCTCTGCTGGCAGTGGGGGTAGTGCAGGGCTGGCAAGAGGTTGCTAGGAATGGCTTGCAAGGAGAACAGTCTTGCTGACCCTGACATGAGGGCAGTGGGGCCTTTGGGGGGCCCTGAGTTCACCTGGCCCTGGCTGGTTCCAGCCCCCAGGAGCTTCCCAGGAGCCCATCACAACCCACTGGGACTGGCCTTACTGAAGTACTTTTGCAAAAGTTCAAGAGGAAGCACAATGTGGTTAAATCTCATACCAGAACACGATGTTCTGGGCACGGTGCCCAGTGCAGGGTGGCCACAGAGAGGGGGGTCCAGGATCCTTCTGCAGGGGAAGCTCCTCGAGCACAGGGTGCTCTGGGGCAGAGCTGCTGGGCAGGGCACAGTGTGCCCAGGGTCCCTTGGGGCATGGTGGGCTCCCAGGTGCTGATGACCACCTGGACAGAGGAATTGGGGAATGATCTGACAGCTGAGGTGCCACCAGCATGGCTGATTCTGCCCCACACAGTGGAATTCTGTGTTCAAAATTCACTGAATCTAGATTCAGGGAGTACCTCCTCAACATGTCCACACTCAGCCTCAGCTCTTTCTCCTTCAGCTGGTTCTCATTTGAAGGGAAAAGGACCAGCAGCCCCCAAACACACTGCTCTGCCCAGAACCACCTCACCAGGTACAGCCTGAGCTCAGCAAACCCCTAAACCCACCTGAGTGCAACAGGGCACATGACAGGTGCCACAAACGTTTGTAAAGACAGAGGAACCCAGCCCTTACAAGCTGTCCTAGACCATTCCTGTCTCCTGAAAGGAACGTTTCTGTCTCTGGGCACCAAACACACAAGCAGAGCCTCCTCTCCCACAGGAGAGCTCCTGTGAAGTGATGGCACTTGACCCATATCACAGCTGAGTGAGAAACAAGGACCCAACACCCTCCCCTCCTGAACCAATGTATGCAGGGTCATCCTTGGCAAAGCCTCCAAGATTCAAGAGTGAAAAACCAGAACACAGAGCACATGGCTCAAACCATGGGGAATGCTGAGAGCAAGAACCTGGGCATCTCCTCCCACATTCCCACCAACAGACAGCAGGTCCTGGGACGGGCAGCAGGTCCCAGGCTGCTCACCCTGCCCTCATGCCCTCAGCCCCAGCTGGCTGCCAGCCCAGGCCAGCAGTAGCACAGGAACAGCCCCAAAACCCTCCCCAGCATTGCTGGGGCAGGGGAAGGGTGGGAGAGGCAGGGCTGGAGAGCTTCACCCTCCTTACAGCACGAGTGAGGGAACAGAGTGTTCCCTGCAGGACAGGACAGCTCAGCATTCCGGTCACAGCTGGCTCATGGAGCTGTCTGACATCTCATAAAAGTGGGAAGTGTCTCCAGTGCCTGGCTCCAGCCCAGCTCTGCCCAGCTGGACCCACGGCAGCCTGAGCTCAGCTGAGCACAGGGCTGTCACTGCAGCAGCAGTGCAGGTGCTCCAGACTCAGCTGGCATTCCAGTTTTGCATTCCCTCTATTCCACCCCATTGTGTCCCAGGGGAGCACACTAAGGCTGGACCAGCTGTTTCACAAACATCTGTGTAACAAATGGGAAAACACCACTTTCCTTAAATTCCTTACAAACCTCATGGCTTTCAGCAGAACAGTGACATTGCACCAGGAACAGCCTACAAAGCTGGTTTTATTCTCAGGGCCAAGCTTGATTAAGCCTCAAGTGCCAACAGAAGATGACGAGTCCCTTCCTGACCCTGAGCAGTGGCCACTGCCTACAGGCAGCCCCCTCTGTGCTGCATCTACCCCATCACCCCAGATAGAGCACATTAAACTCTCTGAACAAGCTGCCACGAAGCATGAACTCTACAGCTCCTGGCAGAACATTTCCAGCACTCCTCAACCTACTCAGGATCATCCAGAGCTTTTGGGAAATTTGGGTGTAGGACATCTTCCCTTATTTCTAAAGATAGAAAAATGGAACAAGCTTTTCCTAGACAAAGACATTTATTAAAAATTAGTCTGAAATAAATCCCCAAAGACCTTTTCACTGTCCTTGCAGAAATGAAAACCAATTTGAGGTGAGTCCTTGAGCAGGGGCCAGCTGCAGGGAGAGCACAGCTGGCACTCCAGCCCCTCATGGTAGCAAAGCCAGCTGCAGGGAGGGCACAGCTGGCACTCCAGGCTCCTCCTGCAGTGATGCCAGCTGCAGGGAGGGCACAGCTAGCCCTCCAGGCCCCTCATGGCTGCGATGCCAGCTGCCAGCCTGCGGGGAAGGCTCTTGGCAGCCTGGCGGAACTCGTCAGGCTTGGCCTTCAGCAGAGTCACAATGTTCTGCAGAGTCCGGGAGGGCTGCAGGCCCAGGGCATCCATCACATTGATGAGATAATCTGCAAAATTCAGGAAAAATTCCTATTTAACTTGCAATAGACACTGTGAAATGAAAGTTATCCTTGTTCTTGGTGGCAGAGGGAATCCTGGCACCAGCACTGGCTGGAATGCACCAGAGGCAGGAGCCCTGCAGGGTGACAGCAGCCTGTGTGTGACAGGAGCTGTGCCCAGCACAAAATGCTCACCAATGTCCGTGGTCAGCTGCTTGGTGGAGTGTGCTGTGAGCTGGGGGATCTGCAGGATGACCTCACAGTACGTCTGCATGGTGGCCCTGGCGATGGAGCCCAGCCAGTAATCAGCCACATTGTCCAGCTCGGGCAGCTCATCCCCTGCACAGAGACAGACAGACAGACAGCCCCTGTCAGCTCATCCCCTGCACAGAGACAGACAGACAGACAGACAGCCCCTGTCAGCTCTGCACACACACAGACCCCGCCCTGGCTGTGTCTGTACAACACAGAACCATAACTGGTTAATAACGCCTGAACTGCTCCTTCAGGACATCTAGGCAGAGTTTATCAGCTGGTTTTGGAGCAATCAAAGCAGCCCTGTACCCTCCCTGTGCTGCACACCACTGACACGAGCTCCAGACCCAAAGCACCTGGGTCACTCTCCAGGTAAGTCACTTCCCAAGGGCTGATGGGTGACAAGTGGGACAGGACACTGCCTGGCACTTCCCAAGGATCCTCTTCCAGGAGCACTTTGCAAGCCACAGCAGTGACAAGGATTCACAAGATTCACAAAGAATGACAAGAGTTTTTTTCCCAGCCCTAAAGGCAGTCTGTGTTCATTAGTGTTCTGAAAATTATCAAGCCACTACATGAAAACGCTTGAAGGTGACACAATAATAATGCAAAAGCCTGAACTAAGGAGGGTGTTTTTGGAAGGTTCCAGGAAGACTGTAAATACCAAGCTCTATGCTTTCCTCACTGTGGAAATAACAACACCATAAAGAGACCAAGCCCAGCACACCATGCCACACTGCCAGCCTGCAGGGAAGGGCATTAGGTGGCTGCTGCAGTTACCTGCAGCAGGATTAGGGACACAGCAGGTAACAGCCCCCTGGAGCATGAACAGGAGCCAAAACCCAACAGAACTCCTGAAACCCCAAACCATCGTTTAAATGAACACCAAACTCACACAGACCAAGCCAAAGCTACCAGTCTGAATGAAACCAAAAAACATTTTACTCATGATTTAGAGGCTCCTCCTGGGTTTTACCAAAGGATTCTTGGAAGAAACAGAAATAGGAAAGGGATCTCCAACGGTTTTGTCACTGTAACACATCCCACCCGTGTAATGTCAGGATGGGAAAGCTTTCCCCAGGCACTCCAAGCCTTTGGTGTCACCCTACCTTGCTCTGGGGGGTATGGCAGTTTTCCAGCATGTAATGCCAGTTCCAAAGCAGAATCCTCTTGAGTGACAAATGGCTCAAGGTGCAGAGGAAGAGACATAATGTATTGCCCAATCTAGAATAAAAGCACCAAAAGCTGAGTCACTGAACAAATGTGAGGCAGGTCCTTTCCTAGGAAAGAAAGTCACCTGCAGTAAATACAACTGAAAGCAGAGAGCTGAGCCTGACAGCCACTCACTCATGTCCAAATTGGCTCTCGTGCATCATTACACTTGGTACAAGAAACAGTTTTTCACAAGGTCAGAGAAGCAGTCACTGAAACACTCGTGGTAAGAAAGACCTGTACAGAGAACTGCTACTCCAAGCAAATCTTTGCTCTCTGGAGTGTTCCCAGCAATTTGTTTTCTAAAGCAGAGTGACAGCCGAGTTCCCTTACATTGCTGATATATTCCAGAGGGGTCAGGCTGAAGTTTGGCAGGTCATCTGTCAGGGTCTCACCAATGCCACCAGAACTCCAGCCCTGCAAGGCAGAAAGTGCAGGATGAGTTCCTGGTTCCCAGAGCATGAAGCCTGTCAGTATTTCAGAAAGGGGTGACCCAACAACATGAACTGTGACTACCCAAGGGATTCTAAGAAGCAAAACACAGATGGTGAGAAAACTGTTTATCATGTTATCCCTCAGGCCCAAAACACCCACCCTTTTTCTACCCAGCTCCCTGTGGGAAACATGCTCACAAGGGTCAGAAAAGCAGCACCTCAAACAAACACCTGAGCCTTCAAACACCTGTGCTGCAAAGGCTGTGGGTGAGGGAAGGGAAACTCCCACTGCCTGCAGCTCCTGGGAGAAACGTGGCACCAGACAGAACCATTCTGAGCAGGACACAGAGAAGCAATGGTGACACAAGGGACCCCCCAAGGACCCCCTGGCTGCCCAGCTCAGCCCCAGTGCCCCCAGTGCCCACCTCCATCCTGGGCAGCAGCAGCAGCTGCTGTTTGATGCGCAGGAACACGGAGTCAAAGGCCAGCTGGTGGCACAGCTGGTTCAGGCGGCTCAGGGCTGCTCGGGACGAGGCCAGCAGGTTGTGGTTGCTGGTGCCTTTCTCCTGAAAACACACACAAAAAACATCTGCAGACACTGAAGTGCCACGGAGGGGATGTGGTAAAGTGCCTGCAGAGGTTTTGTGAGGCCGTCCCTGTGCAGCAGAGTTTTGCTCTGGGATGGCACAGCCTGTTTCCCTTGGAATCACCTATTCCAAGCAGTTACTCAAGACAGAAGCTGCCACTGTTCCCTGAACCGCAGGACAAGGAATCAGCATTGCATTCCAGCCTCCCCTGCCTCTGGCAAAGCTGCCTTTTACTCAAAGGGCACAACTGATGCCCTGGATGGAATTAAGTTCTACCTGAAGAGTACCTGTGGAACTGGGCAGTTTAGTCAAGGTTTAAAGTCAAACACATGACACTGAAGGCAGAAGCACAAAAGTTGCAGGTAAAAGAATCAAAACATTTTGAGGAAATAAAACTCATAAGCTTGAATTCACTACTCCATGTGACCAATGATGGCAAACATAACTTAGATCCATGAGAAGATAGCTAAAGTCATTCTATCCTGTTCACAGATCCATGCATGAATGATCCTGCAGAATTCTGTTTCAGACTGGACAGGGCAGCAGAGTTTAAGTGGCAGAGAAAACCTCAGAAGGTGTGTGGGCTCCAGAATTTGAGATGGCTCCAGCACCACCTTCCCAATGCCTGCTGTGATAAAATCTCTCTCACCTGAGCTGATAAGGGCATGTTCACAAAACAGAGCCAGGATGTGGGGAGAGATGGAATGAGTCCAGACTTCCTGGGTTTGGACATTTCATCTCTCTGTGTATCAGTGTCTCTGTAGAACACAGCCCAGGGAAAAGCTGCAGGCCAGCATGAAAAGTCATTAGACTAGAGGGGGAATCCAGGTGTCATCTACCCAAAATGGACCCAAGAGCACACTGTAACAGGGGCAGGCTCCCCAGGCACCAGGCTACCTTCAGAGTGTAAAGTGTTTCCATAAGGCTGGCATACTCAGATGGGTTCTCCTTCAAGAGATAATTGTATTCCTGCCAGGGATTTTTTATGGAGCTCTTCTTTTCTGCAGAACTGGTGTCCTGAAAGCCAGAAAAACTGCAAGGGCTGTAGGAGTCTGAGAGATACTTCCCAGCAGCTGACAAAATCCTGAAAACAAGTACACAAAAGTCACCAGCAGAATCTTCTGGACTTGACAGTCCTGTCCTCATGCTGGCCCAAGAACCAGCACTTCCCTTGAGTGGCTTCAAGGGAAAGCATTCACTGACAGACTCCAACTGCAGCCCATCCTCTCATCCACTGTGCCACTCAGCAGGTGCTGAGGTGCTGAGGGCACAGAGGGGTTTGTGCTCTGGGAACAGCAGAGCAGCAGGGCCCCACTGCAGGCTGGGCTCTCCCTAAGCCACACTGAGCATTTCAAGGAAGCCCAGGCTGAGCAGGGCACTGCTCACAACAAGGAGCAGCAAGATCCCTGTGCTGCCTGTGCCTGCACTCCTCAGGTTACAGGGAGCCCATCAGGTCAGGCACACCTTTCCTCATTTCAGCACGTGATTCATGCCCCATTTACAAAGGTGAGGATCTTGCCAATGTGATCCAGTGGAAAATTCCCTCCTGAGCCCCATCTGGCAGCCCATTGCTGGCAGCCAGGTGTCCAAGGAGAAGGGTCCTTGGGACTGTCTCAGGAACATGACTGGGCAGAACAGTCTATGTCCCACTTGTGACATTTCAAAGCATGGGGAAGGGGAATCACTGGTGCCTTTCCCTGCATGGTCCATGCAACCAAAGCACTTTGGGCTTTGTTTTCTTTCAGCTTGGTTCCTTCATTGGCAGCTCATGAATTAAGGTGACCAGTGCTCACCTGTTGGCCAGCTGCTGCTCAAAGTCTCCACACTGATGAAGGAGCTCACCACAAGTGGAAATTATCCTGGGAAAGAACAAGACAAAAACACACAGTGAGATTTGAGGCAGATAATGGCAGACACCCCTCAGAGAACCCATCTCGAAACCTCGCCAAGTAATTATGAAATGCCATAACAAACCACAGCCCACACATCTGTCAAGAGTCACTCTGCTGATTAACTCTGCATCCATTTGATAATATTGATTTTTTGCTATTTCTTGTCATCATGGAGAAGGCCAGCTCAGTGTCACTGGGAAAAATTCTAAGAGCTGCTAATATCACAAGTGATACGAGGTGCAGCCTTACTCCAGGCAGGGTGGGGAGCCCCACAGCCCTCCCTGTGCCAGGAGCAACCTGAAACCCAGGAGTGAGACTGGTGCTCCCTGCAGCACAGCGAGCTCAGCCCTGTGCTCTGCACTGAGAACTCGTGTAAACTGACCCCAAGCAGTTCCTTTTCAGCTTGGATACAAAAATCAGCTCTGAGCCAGACACACAAAAACCAAACCCTTTACCGGACAGAGCTCTGGAATGCAGTCCAGTCCTCCTGGAACGGGGAATCTGCCACCACATCATCCAGCTTGCATTTCTTTCGTATGGACTGCAGTGTGTTTGTGAAGTCAGATGTGTACCTGCAGGGAGAAAAGGAGCAGAGAGAACAGGCTGGAGAGCAGCACAAAGACATGTCCTGTGATTTGCTCCATCAGACCTCTGCAAGGGCTAAACAAGAACCAGAAATACTAAAAGGAGAACAGACACTATGACTCCACTCCAAAGAGGTGGATGAGCAGAACTGATCAGCCACAGCACACCCAAGCCTAGACCAGAAGACAAGGAGTGTGAGAGATGCTGTGTGGCTGCCTCAGTTTGCTGCCTGTGGATTCCCAGGAGAAGGAAGGAGTAAAGGCATTTTAGTTACCACTACACTGACCATCTCCTAGGAAAGACCAGGAAAAGTTTCTATGGCTCCTGCTACCTCAACATCACTTGGCCCTTACTCCAGGAACATGGTGACAACAATCTCATGAATTTGTTTTCTCAGTTACTCCCCAGATGAGAACATGGATAAAAAGAACATTCTGTATTCTACACACACCCGTTTTTCTTTTTAATAATGCCCATAAGCTGGAGACAGGTACATTGCTCTGTAATTGCCTATAAAGAAGGTGAGATCAGAGACTTGTATTTTCCTCTTTCCCCTTCCCACAGGGCAGTAATACCTGATTCATGCCTTGTGAGCAGCTCTTTCAGTATCATGAAGGAATAAGGAGTAAATCAGTATAGGAATAGGAAAGTGACACTTTAAGACAAGAACTAAGAGTGAACCTCACTCCATGGGGAACCTCACACTTACAGGCAGATCCTGAATGTGAGGTCACTTGTCCCAGTGACTGCATATTCATAGAACCAATAAGGTTGGAAAAGAGCTCAAAGATGATCAAGTTCAACCACCAGACTTGTCTCCCCACTGAGATCTACTTTCATCAGCCTAATCTGCCTTATTTTGTTTTGGGAAACATCTCCTTCAAAAATATTTATTAAAAATGAAGACTTTGCCCAGCCAGAATAGAAAATAGCTGGCAAGCCTTTGATTTAGCCATAAAATCTTCCATTTTTCCTCTAGAACACAGCCTGTGGTGGAATGAAGCAGCAAGAGGGATATTGATGGCTCAGGGTAGTCAGAGACCCTTTCTGCTCTCAGCCATTTCCCATAAACTACAAAGTCCTTGGCCACAAGCTGCACACTCACTAGTGGCTCGGGATAAATGGAGCAGTACCTAAAGGCACCTTACTTTGAGAACAGGGCCTTGAGGGCCTTCAGCAGCCCACACACCCCCAGGCCATCCGTGAGCTTGAGGCAGTTGTCGACGGCTCCGCCCGCCAGGATGAAGAGTTTGTTCACCGAGTGGTTCAGTTCCTGGACACAATCAATCACTTCCCAATGCTCCTGAATAACAACAGCAACAACAAAGCTGAGCCTGACTCTTCTTCCAGGCAATAGAGAAAACACACCTTGTGCAACACAGTGCTCTCTGCTATGCTCCATTCTTGTCACACTCCTAAGGCAGAACCACCCTGGTGCTTCCACCCTCCTGCCCATGGGCTGCAACAACAGCCAGGCTGCCAAACCCTCTGTTCACAGGGGAAAAACAGCTCTGCCAACAGCAGAATCTCCTACAAATAAAAGGAAATATTACCAAAAAGGAGAGGGGCAAAGAGAGCAGTAGCTATGACAAAGACCCCTGTGTTTAGTGGAAGCTTCAGCCCCTCCCTGGCCAGCTGAGCCAAGACTGGTACATTACCAAGGGCACTGCACTGATCTGGATGAGCAGATTCTCCTCTTCCAGGTCTCCATACTCGAGCTGATAGGGCTTGTACGGAGCAAACACCACTTCCACCAGCTCCATCACCTTCACCAGGTTCTGCTCCTCTACAAAGAATCAGACGTTTAGTCTACAAAGACATGAATCTGCTACTAAAAGCCTCATTTCAAGCTAGATGCAGTTCTTTCACTAGAGCATGCTGCCTGCACAGGCTTGGAATGCTGCCCAACAGCTTCAATCTCAACTACACAGATTGGGTTTTTTATTTTTTTAGAAACAAGATTATTATCTCTACCTGCTTCCTAAAATCAAGATGTTCTACCTCAACAAGTGCCTCAGGAAAATTAACACTCACTGACCCAAAACAGCCTGGGTGACAAAAATCTATCAAACATTCCAACCTACAGCAGAAGAATTGAAACCATCTGAGAAGTGAAACACATTACTCCCACGGCATCAAACAGGGGCAATCCTCATTTATCAGAGAGCCTACTTCACACTTAAAATAATTGACACTAATTCAATTCACTCAGCACTACCGTGCCAGTGCTCATCAAGCAGAGCTGAATGTGAAGCACAGACTCAGCCCTCAGTGCCATGCCTGAGCAGGAGCTGCCAACCCAAACACCAAGCAGGGCTGAATGATTATTGCTCAAATCACAACTGGACACCAGCTGCTCTCACAAAGCTCTGCCAAGCTCAAGCCTGCAGCAAACCAAAGTGACTTTGAATCCTGGGTATCTTGGAAAGACTTTCACATCCTGAGGACAGGAAAGCAATGGAGCAGCCTGTCCAAGGCCAGACATTTTTAAGACCAGACTGAGGAGAATCCCAAGCAGCAGGGTCTGAGCTCACAGCAGATCCTGCCTGGAGCAGGAGACTGGACCAGATCATCTTCCAAGGTCCCTTCCAAATGGAATTATGCTGTGAATCACAGCTGAGCCCTCCCCTCACATACACAGGCAGGAACTGGTTTGACTCTCCTCAGTTGAGTCACCTGGCATTTCCATTCTTGAGATATTTATTTTCTCAAACATCTTACCCCACACTAAAAGAGATGGAAATAAAGGCTTTGAGGGTTTTTTTTAAACACACTCAGATATCAGTTCAACAGTGGTCTTCCTATTCCATCATCTAGAATCTGGCATTATTTTTCCAAGTTCTTTTTAATAATTTCTATAATGAACCATAAATTATGCTAGAAAATTACTGACGTGTATGCAACCAGACAGACAACAGACACAGTCACACTCCCTGACATTGCCCAGCAATCATAATTTACAGGATCAAGAAAGAATCTGGGTTTAAACAGCTCAAGACAATGTTATGAGGAACCAAACACAGGAAGCACAGCATCAGGAACGCTCCATGAGCTTTAATTTTGGATTTTCCTATAGCCAGCCTTTGAAGTGGCCCCACCAAATTCATAAGGGTCTATAAATAGCCAACAGCTCCAATCTGGTGTAAACCTGTGCAAACACAGCACCTCACTGCTGTGTGGTTTGTGGGATTTACTTAGCAATCATGACCAAAATGACAAATGTCCCAGGGAGGAGAAAGCACTGGGCAGATCTGGAAACACTGGGCATTGTCACTTGATTAAACCCTAAGCCAGCAGCAACAGAAAAACTACAAAATCAAATACAAGCATCCAATGGATGCAGCCTTCAAGCAGGTTCTCTCTTGTTTAGTGAGGTGTGACAGTTCCAGGAAACTCCTCAACTTTTCTGCTTTGTGATCTCTCACAATGGGTCTCACTGCCTCCCTGGAGACATTTCCTCGTCTGGGAGACAGAAGAACCAGTAAAGCTGATAAAAGGAGAAGTGCTAAATGCTATTTACCCTGCAGAGCCAGCGTGCTCAGGACAGGGCTGCTGCAGGAAACTCAGTGTTGTGTCAACAGCTGGGGTGTGAGACACACACAAACACAAAGCTGCAAGTGCCGTGGAACTGGGCACTGCTTAGAAGAGAAAATCCCTCCCTCCACCTAAAACTAAACAAAATGCCACAATGGACTTGACAAAGCACAGGACGACAGCATTCAGTGGCAGAGCCTTACTGAGGTTTGGCAGCATGGCCACCTCCAGCCCCTTGGCGAAGTGCACGGAGGCGTCGTGGAGCTCCAGCAGCTGGGCCAGCCTGGCGTCCTGGGCTGTGCTCTCCATGGCAGTGCTCAGGCACACGGGGATGGACGGCACCAGGGCTCCCAGGGTCTGAATCAACAGCACTGTCACGATCTCATGGGGGTTCTTGAAAACCTGCAGCAGCAGAAGAGCACATGACCTGAGAGAACACGCAGCAGCAGAGGGCAGCTTCCAAACCTGAAACACCTCACAGGGGTGGAAAACACTGAACCCTAGCACACAGCACAGCCTGACTGCAAGGCCAGGGCAGTACTCATTTACTGCTGTGCTTTGAGTACAGGCACCAAGAACCCACAGCACAGGCACAGGTCAGAAACTGAATTCAGAAGAACACAGGCACTACAGTGATTCAAAAAACACCTGGCAGAAGAGGGCATTTGAAACAGAGCACTCAGTTTACACAGGTGTGTTGGGAAACAACACGAATCAGTAAAATATGAAGAAAGAACTATATCACAAAGCAAATCACTGGTCAGATAGGCAGAAGTCAGTAGTGGAAAGGCTGGAAAGCCTGTAATCAGCTGAGAATCAGCCACTCCGCTAGCATAAAACTTTTTACAGCCTTCATTGTGACTTTTGCATCTGCTCATTTGCTTTGAAAGCTGAGTTTACCATCAAAAAGGTCCAGAGTTTTTCAGAAAGCAGAAGCAACACAGGAGACTGAGTGACACGAGCTGTGCCCCACGTGCCATTTCTCACAATCCCCAGTTCAAAGAATATCTGCTAAAATGTAACCTGACATCTGACCTGTAAGTCACATCGAATTATTAGGTAGAAAAAAATACATTTCAAGGAAACACTGAGCTCCTCTGCAGCACAGGCCTTGCACTGACACTGGCTTTGTGACATGCAGATAAGAATCTCTTACCCTTCATGGATGAAAAACTCTTCAACAATATGAACTTATTTCTTCATTTCACCAAAGGACAAAAACCTTTTTTGATCCTACATTATTCTTGGCAGGGAAAAGAAGCACACAGACTCCAAGGGGTGACAGCAGAAGCCCTCAGATATCTCACACAGAGCAACATGCATCAGTCCAGTGTGACCTTGAGGGCTTCCTCCAGGCCAAGTGGTAAAGCAATTCAGGCATTTCAAATGTCTTGCAACAGAACACACTTACAACGCCAACAAATGAGTTTTAACTTAAGATACAGATGAAAGTGATAGGGCAGCTTTGATGTCAATAACACAGCAACCTTGCTGCTGGTGGGGCAGCAGGGCAGGAGGCAGTGACTGCACCTGTGCTGCCCACTGCAGCTGGCAGTGCCAGGTCCCCAGCAGGGTGTCATAGAGCTCGCTCAGCTGCCGATGCAGGCTCAGGTCACTCTGGCACAGCTCCTGCCACACGGCCACCAGCTGCACCTGATGGGGAAGAGAGAATTCTGAGAAGGAAACTGGCAGGCCACGGTTTGCTTTTGTTAAGCCAAACCCAGCACTCCCCATCCACAGCACTTCTGCCAAAACATGAGGCTCACCCTTGCTCCCCTCTCCACGTTTCAGCACAGCACATAATTCAGCACCACAGAAGGAAAAGACTTTCAGCATAGAGCTTGAGGCTTCTTAGTGATTCAAAGATTTAATTAACATTGGTATTTTACTCATAAAATGAGATTGCAACTGATACCCCCACATAATAGTTGAAATACTTGGCAAGCCCCAGCCTTGAACTTAATCCTCAAAAGTCACAGTCATGTGAGAAATTTGAAGCTCAGGTTATGGCTACAGAACTGTCTGGAATTCCAACTTTTAATCTTACCTGAAAAGAGTTTACAGAAGTCAGCAGCTGGCACTTTGCAGTAATAAAGTTACTGCTGACATAGCCACATGCACAGAAAGCAAAGCAAAGCCATGAGGCAGAGAGAAATGAAGCAGAACACACAGATCCTGTGTCTGCTGCAGGGAGGGACACAGGCACCCCAATGGAGAATCACTCCTGCAGCACGGGGAGAAAGCAAAGCTGGCCAGAGCCAGCAAGAGAAGTGGAAGAAGGAAATACAGAGAGGAGCAGGAGCCATCCCCCACCACAGCCCAGCTGAGATCCGTGGGGCTGCAGCTCCCTCTGCAGTCAGAGCCCAGCAAGAATTCCCACTTTCATTCCTCGATGTTAAAATGTTAAAACTCTTACCTTGTGACACTTGTAATAATAAGCCAAAAGCTGCGGCATCCGATCAATTTCTGTGAAGACTTTAACAAACATTTTTGCCTGATCTAAACAAAACAAAATAACAGCATCAGCCTCAAAGCTGAGGGTGAGACACCAGTCTGAGCAAGAAATCCTCTTCTAAGGGAGCAGGCACAATGGACTACACAGAAAGAGACAAGTTCATCTCTCGTTTGCTTATCTTCTCAAACAGGACGAGAACTGCCTGAAACCCCCCTCAAACAAGACCAGGCAGCAGGCACAAGGAATGAATTCAACCAGAACATAGTACTAACACATCCAGTACTAAAGCCAGATAAAGCCAGAGCATTTCCTAGAAGGAAATAATTAGTTTCTAGAAACAAGCCAGCAGTTACAAACCTAAAGCATACCTGACCTCAGCCTTGCTTTCACCTGTCCTCAACATGATCCCTGTGCCTCAGACAGACTCATGGCACAGAGCTTAGAAACACAGGCTCCTCAAAAGTCTGGTGTGTGCCCCAGGTCCCTCCAGGACCTCAAGGTGCACAAAGCTGAGTGTCAACAACCAGAACAACTACTTTTCAGAAGTGCTGACAGCTGCACAGGGAACGAACAGCACAAAGAACTGTCCAAAAGGACTAATTTTCTAAGGAGAATTTATAAAGCTGCTTTTACAAAGTAGTAGCAAGTCAGAATGCTTCCAAACAAATTTCCTTCCTGATTACACCAACATCACCATGGTAACACTGAAACCATGATAACATGAAAACCTTTCAGAACTCTTCTGCTTATTTGAGCAGCAACTCCATCTCACACATCCACATGGCCCACAACATCCTGTAATCTTCTTGTTCCCTGTAGTGGCCACAGGTACTCCAAACTGTAGGAAAACCAAAGCAGCCCTGGCCTGCAGGCAGCTGCAGAGCCCAAAACATTCCAGGAGAAGCTCAGGACACCAACTCTCCACCCCAACGGTGTTTTAAAAATAATAAACTCCATGCTGTCAGTAAATGACACCAGGAGCTACTGACCTACAGACTGGGAGTTAAAAGCAGCAACAATCTGAGGGCTGGCCATGGCCTCCAGGCGGTTCTTCAGTGCCTCCAGGTGCACACACTTCTCTGAATAATCTGGTGTGTCCACCAGCATGGCCAGGCTGCTCTGCATGCTCGTCAGCTTGGCTGAGATCAGGGACACGTCCTGCCACAGGGAAAGGCACCCATTACCCAGGGCAACCTCAGACAGCATCAGCACCAGTCACAAAGGCCAATTGATTCAGTATTTACCTGTGTTTTAAGAGTCTCTTCAATATCTGCACTTAGTGTGCTCCATTTGTCTGCTTCCTGAAGCGACTCGGCAGCCAACTGCATCCTGGACTTCACTTGGTCAATCTCCACCAGCACCTGAAGGAAAAAATACAACTTTACGTTCCCCATTGAAACAAAAATGACTGTCACAGATACTTGGGAGTTACTTGCTGCTTGAATTTTAAAAACAAAAAGGGGTGAAAAGATTATGTTATTACAAGAAGATGGAATGATTTGAAGGAGTAAAAGATGTAAAATCATCTTTCAAAGTTAAATAACAGAAGGTTAGTTTGAATTGTGGCCTTGTCCTTTTAGTATCCACTTTGCCTGAAAATGCTGTGCACTCCAGGCAGAAATCAATGTCCCAGGCAGGCAGCAGCAGCTCTGAACCAACACGTGAGCAGCTGCTCCTCAGGACATGCAGACTGCACAGGTCTGTGCCACACCCACCTTTCCACCATTAACGTTGAAAGAAGTGGTTCTGTCTATCTTAAGTTCACAAGATTATTTCATATGAACAACTCTGTAGCTTTCAGAATTTCACAAGCTGCAGACAAACACTAAGAACTAACCTGCATGGACTGAGCTGTGTCTTCTTCAAACTTCTTTATATCTTCTTTAACAAGGATCATCTGCTCCTTCAGGAATGTTGCCTCCTGTTTCAAGACCTCCACTTCACGGAGGACTCTGGGCATGTTTTGGAGAGCCTGGTGGCTCGTTTCTGCAGAGCACAGAGCAGCCAGTGAGGAGGGCTGAGAGCCCCTGCAGGAACAGCTGGTTTTCAATAATCTTATCTAACCTTTAGGACTTGAAAAAACCCAACGCTAGACAACAAAGCAAAACATCAAACAGCAAATCTTCAGCTGTATCTTTAAACGTTGTGTTTTATCATGGGACCATTTAGGTTTAATGGGATCATCGAGTCCAGCTGTTCCCAACAGTCCAGTCCTGTTCCCTCAGCAGTGCCAGGGTCACCACTTGTCCCCAAGCGCCACATCCACACGGCTTTTTAATCCTTCCAGGGACTCCAGCACTGCCCTAGGCAGCCTGTGCCAGGGCTGGGCAACCCTTGTGTTAAATAAATTTACCCCGTTATCCCATCTAACGCAGCGCTGGCAGGAGCTGCTGTTTCCCAGCATTTAACGCAGAGGTGTTGGTGAACAACTACAAGGGCCAAGAGGATCGCTCTGCCTGGGGCAAGGCCGGGATGGCCCAGGTGGCCTTGGGTGGCCCGCACAGGTATGCGTGTGACACCCGCAGGTGCGGGGACACACGGGCCGCGCTGGGGCCGAGCAAACCCCGCACCTTCCACGGCGTTGTTCACCTCCTGGATGAAGAGCTGCAGCTTCATCACCAGCGTGGCGGCGTGCGCGTCCACCTTGCCCGGCGCCTCCTCCTGCTGCACGGCGCGGAACGCCGCGTTCACCCAGCCCTTCACCTCGAACTCGTCCGACAGGAACCGCGAGAAATCCATGGCGGAGGGGACACGGGGGGACAGCGGGGGGACACCGGGGGGACGGGCCCGAGCGGCTGCGGCCCAGCCCCGCCGCGAACCCGGAAACGCTCACAGGGGTCGGGGCGGTCTCGGGGCGGTCCCGGGGCGGTCCCGGGGCTGTGTGGGGGCGGTCCCGAAGCGATGCCGGGAGATCTCGGGGGAGTCCCGAAGCGGTTCCTGAAGCGGTCCCGGGGTGGTGCCGGGGCGGTACCGGGACTGTGTGTGGGCGGTCTCGGGGCGGTCCCGAAGCGGCCCCTGAAGCCGTCCCGGGGTGGTGCCGGGGCGGTCTCGGGGCTGTGTGTGGGTGGTGTCGGGGCGGTCCCCGGCCCAGAGCCGGTTCCGCAGGGCTCGTACCCAGCCCGGTCGTTCCCCGCGGCCCCGGCCCTGTGTCTGCCAAGGGTCACGGCCCCCAGCTCAGAGAAATCCATCAGGGTGTGGCCCTTGATGCGCCGTGGGGCTCCTTGGGGAACAGAGACAGAGTCAGCAAAGGAACGGCACATCCATGGCTACAGGTGTGCCTGAAAGGGGAACACCTTGGGACTATTGTCTGTCAACTATAGGCAAGAGAAAATGATGGTCACACACAGTATTTCTCCTGCCCCTGTGACGTCATCGCGGCGGGGTCAAGTGGTCAAGCCCCTGATACGTCACCGCCCGGGCGTCACGTGACTACGCCCCGGTAACGTCACAGCGTCGGCGTCGCCTGGCCACGCCACCGAATACCTTACTGCCCCAGCTCCATGTGGTCGTGCCCCCCTGTGCCGTCATTGCTCCGGTCACTTGATCACACCCCGGTTGCGTCACCGGCCCCGCGGCACGTGGCCACGCCTCCCTCTAAGTCACAATGTTGGCGTCGCATGGCCACGCCCACGTTTACGTCATCGCGTCGGCGTCACCTGGTCGCGTCCTCTTCACTGCCGGAGAGGTCACGTGGCCGGGGGGGCGAGTACACGTGACAGCGGGCCGGTTCCGTGTGACGTCACACGATGACATCATGGGGGCGTGGCCAGAAGGGGCTGTGGCGGTCCCGGGGCCGTGTCCGGCCCCGAGGCCGTTCCGGGGTCTCTGTGCCCAGCCCGGTCTACCCTGGTGCCTCCGGCCCCGGGCACAGCTCTGCTCCTGCTCACCGCTCCCGGTACCCTCGGCTCCGGGAAAACGAGGCCGGGAGTGCCCCTGTGTCCCTGCAAAAAACTGGCACGGGGAATGCTCGTGTAGATTCGCTTTTGGGGGTTATTTTTGGTTGGGTTTTTTTGTTTTGTTCTGGGTTTTTATTCAAAAAGTGAAGGGGAAGTGGCCCGTGAAGCAGCAGGAGCCGTGTCCATGTTTAGCACGGAGGCTGCGGTGCTCTCCAGCAGCTCCGGTAACGCAGGCTCGGCTCCAGCCTCAGGCTGCAGCAGAAGCAGCCGCTGCCCGCTCCTCCTGCCGGCACGGATCCTCACAAAAGGCTCCTTACAGAGCGCTGGCCAGCACTGCTGGCCCTGGCCCTCCGCACCTGCGGCTAAGGCACCACTGCCGTGTCCGAGCCAGGTGGATTTCAGAGCTCTGGAAATCCAGACACCTCTCCCTCGGCGCTGCAGGGCTGCAAGCCCTGCGTGAACAGCAGGCTGTACCTCAGGCGGATGGGATCCTGCGAGAGAGAGGCACAGACAGGGCACACCATGAATATAAAAATAAACCCCTGGAGTCCTTCGCCCCTCACAGCTTCACTGCAGTGAGTCAGGGCACACCATCACTATAAACCCCAGACTCCTTCACCCCTCACAGCTTCACTGCAGTGAGTCAGGGCACACCATCACTATAAACCCCGGAGTCCTTCACCCCTCAGGCCTCGCTGCAGTCACGTCTGAAAGGGGAAACACCAGCCTTGCAGAAGCTCTGCACAAAAGAAAACCTTGGGTCTTCCTAAGACAGACAAGAGCAACTGGAAGCCCTGTTCACACCACCCATGGGCACGTTGGCAATCCAGGCCTACAGAGAGACACAGAGTCCCTTACACCAATCCTGGGTCCCGTAATTGTCCACCAGTGCAACAGATCTGCCACCCATCACTTGTGCCCTTGTGTTCCCTCAGCTGCCAACCCCTGCACAGGGAGTGCCTGGAGCTGTCTCTGTGTGCACACAGTCCAGAACTGTGCAGGCCCCTGCAGCAACTGTGCCTCTGGAAAGCTCTTCAAGCAGAAAAAACATCTTCCCAGCACAGTGCACACTGCCCTGTCCCTCCAGTGCATCTCCCCATGATTAAGATTGTCCCCATCTTTCAGGCAAACAGCCAGAGGGATTCCCAGTCCCACCAGCAGCACCTTGTGTGGGTTGGCCAGCAGCAGCACCTGGGACACCACTGCAGGTGGGAGGAGAGGGTTGAAGGCTGGCAGCTCAGAACCGGAGGCTGGTTGTAACTTTATTTGCATGGTCTGAAAAAGAAAACAAAAGAAACACTTTTCAGTCCATGCTGGGAAAGGGCTGTGAGCACCACTGAGCCATGGAGCTGGTTAAAGAAGCATCAGCCAGACTCTGTCATTCAGTGAAAAGCACAGCCTGCAGCTGAAGGCAGATATTCCTAAACAGCCAATTCTGTGCTACACGTGCACAGAGAGCAAGAGCCCGACCCAGGAGGCTGAAGCAGCAGCTCTGGACCCTCTCTGGCCATAGCAAGGCCAGGGATACACACTGAAACAGGCACCACTGTACAACAGGTTCTCCGTGCAGAGACAGGCAGCCACACAACTTCCCATGAGCAAGACAAATACTCAGTAAGAAACGGTGAACCTTCTCCTCAGGACATTTCTGAGCATCTCTGCTACTTTGCCCCAGGGTTCTGACCTTTGGGACTGCAGCCTGGAACACTATGTCCTTAATGGGGTGCGCTGAGGTGCTCAGCATGGACAGAACCATCACCAGCACGTCTGGCCTGCCAGGAGCCGGGTCTCTGGAGAAGTGCAGCATGGCCTTGAAACCATTCCTGTCATACACAGTGAGTGGACAGACAGTGCCTGCCAGAGACAAACCGAGAATCAGAATCAAAGCCTGGATTCCTCTCCCATCTGAGGGCAAACAGGAAAGGTGGGATAAGGAATAGCAAAAAGGAAAATGCAGACAAACTTTTACTTCCTTTGGTAAACTCACAGACCAAGTGGCACACGGTCCTGATTTACATCTGCTTCTAAGGCAGAGACAGGAATCTGAATGTCTGCATTTGGGATCTAGCAGCTCAGGTGTGCATCCAACAGAGATGTGGTAAGAAAAGCAAAGTGCCTTTCTTAGAGCACACAAGATTTGTCTCCTTACCATCCACACCTGGCAAATTCACACCTGACTCACCATCAAGCCTTCCCAAATCTGTTGTGACCTTCACTTGAGACTGAAGGCAGATCAGGATGTCTGTGCACCTGTCCCCTTCCAGCTGCAGGGAGAGCCAAGGCTGTGGCCCCGGGCTGAGACCCCGGGGTGAACAAACCCAGGAAATGCTCTGGGGACGAGCTGCAGAGCTGGGCCATACAGTGTGAAACCCAAAAGCAGAGATGGAATGAAGAGCTCTGCTCTAGGAAGTGGGGCAACTCCCACTCAAAAGTGTCTTTTAGGACTTTTAGTAGAAAAACTGTTTGAAGCCTTACTGAAGGTGTGAAGGATAGAGTTTAGAAACAGATTACAAAAATCAGCCAGGGCAGGAAACTCCTGAGTAATGAGTAGGGAGGACAAGGACATTGTCATGCTATGATCCCCAGCACCTACTCAGATTCTCAGGTACATTCAGCCCATCACAGAACAGTCATTGCTTGTCTCCAGCCAGCCCACACTGCATGAAGCTGCTTTGGCTTCCTGTCCTGCAAAACTCACAGAAGAGCTCTGGTAAGCAGAGCTGGGGCACAGAACTGCACTTACTTGGTGTGATTGAATTTAAAGGCACAAAAAGGTTTTCTAGAGAAGCATCACAGGGAGCTGGATGCAAAGAGGCAGTAGGCTTCAGCTCATAGCCTGGACTGAGGAGGGCAGGATCTGCCACAGAGTTATTTGGAAGATCTGGAAAGGGTGATTTCATTGGTGATAAATCCCTGGAAAGAAAAGCATGCAGAAAGCCTGTATTAAGTGAAGATACTACAGGGAATACAGTTCTTCTGCTATGTCTGTATTCCCAATCCCTCATCCCCTTTAGATATAAAGAAACTACAGAATTACATTCTGAGTCCTTGAGGAATTCAAAAACTCTATCATCTGTGGAAGATCTTGCTGTTTCAAAATTCATTAAGGCAGATTTTGGTTCTGTAACTATGGTAAAAGTTAGGTTTAGGGCTTTGGAAGTCTGCTGTCCCTGTGTGCAGCTTCTCTGGAGCCCTAGTCAGGCAGATTAAAATAAATTCCAGCTCAAAGCCATCACAGGAAGCTGCAAATCTTCAGTAAAATTTCTTGTATTACAGCAGACTGTATAAGCATACTGTAATAGTCTCCTGCTCTGAAGATCTGTGGAGATGAATTTGATTTGTGAACTGTTCCAAGCTTCTACTGAATGCCTGGAAACTCTCTTGCCACAGCCTGGAGAAAGCTGAGGAGAGTACTTTTTGAGTGGTTATTATAAAAAGGCCTGACTGTAAGGTTTTTGTTCTTTTAGCTCAACACCACCTTGTTATCAACCAATGGGATTGGTCTCCCCAAATTTCTGATCCTTGGAAGGTCCTGGTGTGCAATTACCCAAACTGCAATTAACAGGTGCACAACTGCAGGAAAGAGCCAATGAGTGCATGGATCACTTGCCATCACTCACCAGGGGGAGCTGAAAGGTTTTCCTAAACCACCCTCCTGCAAAATAATTCCTTAGCCCCCAAATCTGACTCTATTATGTAGAGTTTACTTACAAAGAGAATGTCTTAGTCCTGGACAGTGGAGAGAGCTGTTCATGCAGACTCTGGAATTCACTGTTCCCTGCACAGCTGAGCTCCCAGCTCTCCTGTGGTCCCAGGCTTTGAACAGCACTTCCACATTCCCTAAATCCATTGTGTACAGCAGGCTAGAAAATAAGGTTCATGCTATAAAATACCAGCAAAAATAAACCTGTTGTGCTGGAAAGAACTCTGTTTATCAAATACCACTACCTAAAGTGGAAATACTTTAATACAAATTACTCTAAAAAGAGTAATTTGGTTACAAACTGCACCTGAGAGATTAACTGAGAACACAAGGATTCCAGTTGTCTTCAGAACAGAGTGGTACACCAAAAAGGCTGCCAGGGAAAGGCAGACAAGGAAACATCTCTGATTTTTGTCCTTTATACATTATGGACTGCAAAGTGTCTGAGCACCACTCACCTCTGCTAGGCCAAAATCAGGAGCTGGTTTCTGTATGACAGGGGAGTTGCTGAGCCCTAAGAAAGACACCAAAATACCACAGAATAACTGACAGAAAACAAGGGGTTTCCACAGGTTCTTCCTTTGCTGTCTAACACCACTAAAGACACTGCATCCCTGAAAATCCATATCTGGAAGGCTCTGGGGACTGACACTGAAGTCAGAGTTCTCCTCTCTTTATTAACCACCCCAAACCCAGTAACAAGGGTGAGGCTGAACTGCACCTACAGACCTAAGGACTGAAACTCCTCCTCGAGCAGGCAGGTGGAGGCTGTGCTGCCGTGGCGTTGGGAGGGTGAGGCTGTGTCTGCCAGGGGCTCCGGGGGGGTCTGGGGGCTCTGGGTCAGGGGCTCCAGCTCAGAGAAATCCATCAGGGTGTAGCTCTTGATGCGCTGTGGGGCTGCTTGGGGAACAGAGACAGAGTCAGCAAAGGAGTGGAACATCATCTAATGTACAACCCGCCCGTTTAATTTTTAATTCTTATAGAATTCATGGGTTTTCCCCATTGCTTCTTTCATTTTTTTAATATCCAGTTCCATTTATCAGCAAACCTGCAGTTTGTTTGTAAAGGCAAATACCTTTTTCCATTCATCAATCAGTGGAATCCATTCCATTGTTTCTTTTATCTCTCAGTGCTGGTTTTATCTACCAGCAAACCCACAGCTCGTTTGTAAAGACAAATCCCTCATTCCTTTCAGCTACAGGTGTGCCTGAAAGGGGAACCCCCTTGGGAATATTGTCTGTCAACTATATGCAAGCGGCAGTGCTGGTCACACAACATTTTCCCTGTGTTCCAGTGCTCTCTCCACATTTGTTCTCTGAGCAGCACTGCCCTCCCAAGCCCTGCTCACACCTGGCACTGTGGGTGCTGCTCACCTGCATGGGCAGAGCTGTCCTGGCACTGTGGGTGCTGCTCACCTGCATGGGCAGAGCTGGCAGCTGAAGCTGCTCCATCCCCTCTCTCCTGGCTGGTCACAGGCACAGGCACAGCCTGCCTGCACTGCCCCAGTGCCTGGCACAGCTGGTCACTGGCCTGCAGGATCTCGGCTGGGAAAGCAGAGCACACACAAAACACTCATGTTCCTAAGAAAAGGTCAGGTCGGTTCCAGGCACCCCCCAAAATGCTCTGAGGAAGGGACAGTGCAGCTCAGGAGAGAAGGCAGCAGGGCAGGCTGCCCTCAGCTCCTCACTGGCCTCTCATTCCATTCTGCACACACAGCTGCTGATTCCAGACCCCTCTCTCATTTATCAAGATCACTTTGAAATCTTATCCCATCTCTTCTGCACTTTCTTTTTCTCCACAAGTTTTCCCTGTGCACTTCAGTCTATAATCCAGCACTCCCCAGCTGCAGAGCCATGGCACCTATGGGTGTGAAAGGAAGGTGTGAGGTGCAGTGGAGCTTTTGGGGTTGCTGTTTAGGATGTCTGTCCATTGCTTCAGTCAGATTTGCAAGGCATATGGACAAGAATGAAACGCCAATCATGGAATTCAAAGATTCTGCTTTCATTAAATTAACTCTACCCTAGCTGAAACCAGGACACCTTCCTTGGTATTACACTTAAAAATTCAAAATGTATTCCTCTTTCTGTGTTTATACACAAGGAGAACTTCAATTACTGGAGAGAAAAGGCCTCAAAAGCCTTCAGTTCTCTGAACATCAGAACTCAAAAAAGCTCAGAAAACCACCTCAGCTGAAGAAACAGATTCACTGTTTAACTTTGGGCTCCAAGTGAAAATTAACAGCTTCCTCAGAGATGAGCAGGAGGAGACCAAATACCCTGGGTATGGTTTCATGGTGACAGTGGAGAGTTTGCCCACAGGGTGCCAAGCACCCGAGCTCTCCCCTGGCAAGGAAGGGCACAGCCCTGGCAGAGCTGCAGAGAAGCACCAGGACAGGGCTGGCTCTTACCTAGAGCCTCCTCATCAGCCACTGCCTCCCTGGCCAGGCGGAACAGCAGCGGCCTGAGCTTCTCACAGCGCTGGGACAGAGCCTGGGGAGGAAAGGTTCCACTGCTCAGGAGCCAGGCACATCACACCTCTGCCTCTGCAGTCACTGCAAGGGCTGCTCCCTCTGCAAGAGGGAGGGACAAGAGCATTTCTGCAGGAAAAAGAGCATTTACCTGTAGGGTCTCCTGCTCAGCTGGGGATAATTCCTGTCTCCTGGAGCTCTCCAGTAGCTCCTCCATTTGTCTGACACTCTCAGAGACCTCTCTGATGGTGTTCACTCTTCGGGACACCTGAGCTGACTTTTCTTGTTCCTGTGATGAAAAGTGAAACAAAGGGAGATGATGCACAGACCCAGCCAGTGCACTTGGCTGGAGCACTCTGGGTCACACTATTAATATTTTATTGCAGGTAGAGAAGGCACAAAGCAGCACAGGTGAGAACGTGCCCCCAGCTGCCCCATCAGGCACCCTGGCCATGTGCTGTGGAATGTGGAATATGGAATACATCTCACCACAGGCACGAGTGTGACTTCAAAATTGAGCTGGGAGTTGGTGGCTTCTGCCACACAGAAGGACACACTCAAAACAACCACAGGGCTTTGTTAAACCAAATCTCCTCTGTTAGCAGAGAAGTGGGATGCTCCATTTCCTTCAGATGGAACATGCAAACAGACAGGCCAGGTGTGCACACACACTGCCTGCAGGAAAGGGGCAGATTTGTACAGAAGTGACTTTTTTCCACCAGGGAACTGAGTTTATTTTTGGAAATTTCCAACCACTAGTGCAGTACTACTGCCAAGGTCCCACTGACATGGAAGTGTCCTGCTGTGTGCACATTCACATGTTCCCTCTTCCTGGCAATGGCACATTTTAGGGAAACAAAACAAAATTACCCCATGCTGTAATCTCAGAGTAATTTGGAAAGCCTGAACATGGCCCCTTCTCCAGAGTGTCCCCTGTCCAAAACCAAATGGCCAAGCTCCCTCCCACCCTGCCTGGCTGCAGAGGCTTCTCCTGGGAGCTCCCAGCTCTTTAATCCCAGCATTAAAGGGAGTCCCCACCTCTTTAAGCACGCTCTGGATCAGGCGGTTGGCAGCCTGCAGGTCCTCGGGGTGGCTGCTCCTCAGGAGCCTGGCCAGGAGCTGTCAGGGCAGAGATGGGACAGCAGTGAGCCCTGGGCACTGCACACACCACAGACACCTCCTGCAGAATGGTCCTGCAATCCTGGGGATGTGTCAGCTCCTGTCCCATCATCTAATCCAGTTACATTGCTGCCTGCATGCACTGGCTGCTCAGGATTAGGAACTCTGGCTCTGCAGAACTTCTGTAAGACCTGGAGAAGCCCTCCCTTGGGGAGGTTTCATAGAAACTGATGTTTTTATGTAAAAAAGTCTCACTTTTTCCTAAGGAAATTTATCTGACAAAGCCTCAGAGAGTTCTCTAGCTGTGGCACTGCAGGAAGGATCAGCATTATTCTGAGATGGTCTGAAATAGCAGAAGCTCCCAAAATATTACTGAGCCTCTTTTCTCATCAGCACAAAACAGAGGGTGGGGCATGAACACTAAGGTTTACCTTGGACTTCTCCTCATCTGTGTCAAAAATAGAATTCTGAGGTCTTGGAGAAGGGGGAGGTAAAATTTTGTCTTCTGGCAGTTTGGGATCTTCTTTTACAATCCCTGCAACAGGTAACAGCAATTGTTCAGTGATGCCCAAGCTGCTGAAACCTCGATGCCCAACAGTGCATGAGGTTTGCAGAGATTTCCGGATTAAAATACCACTGAGGACTACAAAATATAATGAAATGGATGAAAAATCCACCCCAGGATCCCTCTGAACTCATCTCTCATAACTCTGGGAGAGTGTTCCAGGGCAAAGATCACTTCTGAGCCCGTGCTGTATTTTTTCCCTGCACACAGTGTGGACAGAGTCTGAGCTGTGGCTCAGGAAGGTTCTTTGGAAAATCCCTTTAAACAGTTCCATCCTTCAGAACCCAACCAGCCTGGGACCTTTGTCCCTTTTCCTTACACACAACATGCTATGAAAAAGCTGAGTCACAAGCTGAGGGAGGCAGATATCTGTGGGGGGAAACCATGGGCTTGGGAGGCTAAAAAGGAAACTGAAATAACAGAACTGAACCTTGTTTCTTCAGCATCTGATAAGCATCCTGGATTTTGACTTCCTGAGGAAACCAGACTGTCCAACTGAACATCACTTCTGTGACCCTCGACTTGACTTTTTCTGAAGACCAAATTCCATAGTACTGAAAGCAAGACAGTAAAGAAAGACAAAAAAGCTCAAACCCAAAAAATTGGTTCCAGATCTGGCACAGGGATCCAGCCCAAGGAGTTTATGTGCAGACACCAAGGAAAAATGGACTCCTGTGAGTTTATTCACAGTGCTGTCTGCTGTGTATCTGATTGGGGTTAGGAAACACAAGAAATGCTATGGACACTATGAGAATCACACATATGTTCTATAACAATCAAAATTAAACCACTTCCAATTTCTCAGATAAGTTATTGAATCTAAAACCCAAAGTAAAATATTTTAGTGAAAACAGCACTGTGCTTGACTTTAAACACTCCCCTCAAGTGCTGCAATGCAGTCACACCACTGGCCTCAGCCAGCCCCAGACACAGGAAAACTGAACAAAACCAGAAACCAACTATATCAGCATCTGGGTGTTTTCTCCAATTTCTCTCATTATTGCCCAAGAGCACTCCTTTTATTATAAAAACACAAACCTCCCCAAGACCAGGCATTTCAAACCCATTAAATGATACCTGTCCTCTCAGAGCAGTAAACAGAATTTTCCTCAGTGATATATGCCTTAAAGTCTGTGGTTGCACTGAAATGCTGTAACCAAGCCTGAGACTGAGACAAGGAGTTTTGTTCTTCAGCTGAGCATTTCTTTGAAATCAGCTTTTTGCAGCTCTGCCCTCGGGCTGATGCAATGGAAAATGAAACATGCACCAGTGGTAAATGTGTGCAGGACCCAGCAGAAGGGGAAATTGATGGGTGCAATGCCAAGAGGGTGTTTCAGGCCCATCCCAATGAACAGGAGCATGGCCAGAAGATCCCACTGCCTCTGATAAAGCAGAGCTGCATTTCTTATCCCAAAACACCCTGTAACCACCATCACCAACCTTTGGGGAAAGCACTTTAATCAGCTCATTCAGAAACCTGAATTTTGCCATTTCACTGTGAAATCTGCCACCACAGTTGTTCACACAGGTCTCCAGCACCTGCAGAAAACAAAATGTTACCAAAAGGAACTGAACACACAAGGCTTGGGGAGCTTTCAAAAACTTTTGTCATTATATTACTAAATCTAAGAGCCTTCTGACACTGCATTCACCAACACAACACACTGAGAAAGTCATGCAGCAAGAACATGTTTTATTCCTTCATCCAGCCTTCCTAAGCAGCATATCTCAGACCACCTGCTCTGTTCTACCCATCACTAACAAGTTTTGAGCTGTTTCCTCTGTGGTGGGACACAGCTCACACAGCCAGAGCTGCAGACCACTGAAACACCTCAGCAGAGCAACTTGGGGAGGAACAGAAGCAGTTACCCCCTCCCCTGTGCCCTGGTTTCTGTATTCCTTGTGCAAGGGAAAGTTAAAAGGGAGGGGCATCCACAAGAAAGAGAAAGACATCGACATCTGGGAGAAAAGGAAGAGCGAGCAGAGCTGTCCTGTGTGCACTGCTGCTCTCGCTGCCATTTCCAAGGGGCTGTGTGTGTGTGGGGATGGAAGTACTCACTGTGAGGGCATGGAGAGCTTCCCCCTCCTGAGGGGACTGGATTTTGTGTGCCAGCAGCCTCAGCGCAGACAACGGGCTGGGGAAGAGCAAAGCAAGTCACACATTTGTTTTTCCCAGGAAAAACAAACGCTGCTGGTTGGGTCTGCACAGCAGAGCAGCTCTGGACTCACAGCAGGACAGCCAGCCCCCCTTCCTTGGCACACTGCTGGCCAGGGACACAAACACACACACAGGGGGTGAACTGGTGACCCCAGAGCTGCCCTCCAGCCGTGCCAGGGGCTGTGCTTTGGGAGGGAGCAGCAGGGACAGGCTGGGGATGTCCCGGGGCAGGCACCAGGAGCTGGCTCTCTGCAGCTGCAGGTGACAGCCAGGGCAGCCTGTGCCAGCTCCTGGGCACGAGCTGGGTGCCAGACTATGAGCCCTGAACTCTAAACACAGAAATCATCATTAAGGTTTGACAGGTCAGTTGCTTAATTAGTCCCTGCTACTTCCCACAGAGCCCAGACTGCCAGCTGGAAGGTGAGGAATTCTAGCAGAGATCCTCCACCCCTCTGGAAGGAAAAGCTGAGGCTGAGCTCCCTGGGGGCTTCCCTGCAGGACCCCACAGCAGGAATCCTTGGGCAGACTCCAGAGGGCACGGCCAGCAGGACCTGCTGCCCGCTGGGCTCCAGCAATTGATGCCAGAGCCCATTGCCAGACGTGACCCGCTGTCACACTGCCACACACCTATTCCCAGATCCTATTCCCAACTCATTTCTGCTCCCTGCAGCAGCAGAGCCCAGTGAGCCTCCCCAGCTCCCCATTCCTGCAGAGCCAGAGACAGCCTGGGGAACACAAAGAGCTGTGTGAGCTGTGTGTCTGTGTGCCTCACCCCTCCGTGCCTGCCTCACCCCTCCGTGCCTGCCTTACCCCTCCGTGTCAGCGTTCACCTGCTCGCAGAACCGCTGGATGCATTCCCAGTTTTCCTCGCAGACACTCGGGTCAGTGGCCTCATCTTACAGAGGGAGAAAAAACAGAGAGGAAGAAGGAAAGCCTGGCCTCAGTGTGTCAGTGAGTGCTCAGGGCAGGAAGCAGCTCAGACCTCACTGTGCCACTGCTCCAGAGCTTTTTGTAGCAGAAAGGGATATCCAGGAAACAGCTGCTACTAAAATCTGCCTAAAAACAGTCCCAAGCACACAAAGTCAAGCACGGCCTGACAACAGCAGATGCTGCTTTTAGCAGGAGGAACTTAAAAACCATTGACAGGCAGCTCTCCTGGGACTGCTGCAAAACTTGTGCTGGAACACAGGCAGTTTACACTCTTACACAGCTAAATTAAGGAAAAAAGTTGTTTTTTTTTTTTGGTTTTATCCACTCCCCAGTCTGTCTCTCAGGCAGCTTTGGGAGGTGAGGATGGAAGGACAGATGCAGCAAGACAGCACCCACATCACTCTGCAAGGGTTCTGTGGGGACAATGCACCCCCTTCCCCAGGAGATGAAGCTGCTCCAGTGCCCACCCAGTTTGGAAGAGGCAGCAGAGCCAAGCCAGCCCCCAGCCCCAGCCCCACTCACTGAGCCAGCGCTCGAGCTGCCCGCTGCCAGCCATGGGCTCGTCTGCTCCGCCCTGCAGGAAACGGCTCCGTGGGCAACCACGTCAGAGCCCGTGGGCAACCACGTCAGAGCCCGTGGGCAACCACGTCAGAGTCTGTGCTCTGTCCATGGGCAACCACGTCATTGCCCGTGCTCTGTCCATGGGCAACCACGTCAGAGCCCGTGCTCTGTCCATGGGCAACCACGTCAGAGCCCGTGCTCTGTCCATGCTAAGCCCACCTGAGTGCCCATGGTTTGGTTTGTCTGTGCTCAGCCCACCTGAGTGGCCGTGGCATCGAAGTGTTCATGGTGGGTGTAGGCTCAGCACAACACCCACCAACACCAACACCCCTCTGAGCTCCTCCCCTCAGCAGCGTGCAGAGTATTAGTGAGAATGGAATCCAAGTCACCACATTAATTTAATAATTAAACGGGCATCAGACAAAAGAGGAAAAAACATCCTAATCTCCTGATCAGGGATATTTTTAGCAGAATCACGTGCATGACACAGTGCACAGGGAGGAAACTGCCCTCTGAGCAGCTCCCTCAGCCTGGTAGGACACCAGGGCAGCAGATATAATATACATCTGTTTATATTCATATATATAAATACCTCCCACTGCATTTATTGGGGAACTGTGTTTTGTAGCTGTAGGTACCCTGACCACGAGCCCCTCTCCAAAAAGAATCTGATCTGTTGCTGTCAGTTCAGTTACTTTCTGTCCACATGATCTGAATTTAAATGCTGATTCATGTCCTCTTCTCCCACTCTGCAAACCAGGCTCCTTGCACGAGGCGACAGCAGGATGGAGTTGAATCTGGACTTGGTTCCTCTCCCAAACAAAGTGGTTTGTGCTCAGTGCAGGTTTGTGCAGACGCGGGACCAGCACAGGCACCTGCCTGGCCTAAAGCCCAGCTCTGATCAGAGATGGTCACGCAGGTGCCACCTGCGCCATCCAGGTGAGTGTCACCGCCGTCCTGTGTCAGCTGGACAGTGCTCTGTGGATCCTGCCACACACCTCCTCAGCTCCCAGAGTCACCATCATCTCAGCAACACTCGGGCCTTGCTGCAAACAAGAAGGAGCCATTGAACACGTGGGAACCTCCCCAGCACGTCTGCCTTGTGGTGACTGAACCAACACAGTGACTGAGGGGGGTCAGCAGCAGCTCAAACAAAGCCTTGGGGTTCTCCTCCTGAAGACAAATGCCATCCCTGGTCAGAGCGACCTGCAGGATTTAGCACCAGAGCACACTGCAGGTGATGTCAGAATTGGTTTTTACCTGCCGCCCGCTGAGCGCCAAGCGGAGGAGCTGCATCATGCTGCTGTACTTGGTGTCTCTGGTTTGCTCCTGCAGACTTCTCAGGGCTTTGTTCAACTCCTCCACAGTGAAGGCAGCTGCCTGCCTTGTCATGAGCCTTTAGGAAACAAGGTGTCCTTACACTCTGGCACATGAAAATCACAGGATTCCTATCCCTTACCCCTGCCCTGTGCCAGCGTGCTCCCTCTGCTCACCAGAAGCAGAGCTCATTCGAAAGAGAAAATTTAAACTACAAAGTTATGCCACAGACCTGGAACACCACAGAAAAAGCAGTAATTCTGATTGGTTAAGAATACAATTTTCAGAGATGAGGAGCCTTTACTGGCAGACAGCAGCACGCTTACCCTATGACCAGTTTTCCTATTTCATCTACTTCTGCAGAAATTGTCTGTAGCTGCTGCCGGGACACTGAGGGCCTGACCCACAGGTAAGAGTAATCACTGGACACCAGATCCTTCAGGAAGCTTATGTGACCCTGGGGAAAGAAAGCAAAGCTGGCAGGGCAGAGAGCTGTGCTGTGGAAGAAGGAATTCCTCAGCCTGGAGGATGCTGGCACAGTGCTCTGCCACAACTCGTACTTTTCTCAGCAGGAGAACTCGCTCCACATATTCATTTTCCAGAACATCTGGATCCACCTGCTGGTCCCCATGGACGAGCTCCACCAGCCCCTGCAGCTCCCTAACGAGCTTCTGGCGCAGCCCCTGGTTCTCAATGTGACGGCCGAGGTGAACCCTGTAAGAGCAAAGCCCTGCTTTTGGATTGCTCGGGGTTACATCAGATCACCCCAAACACCCTTCACAGAAACCACAGAACATTCTGAGTTGGAAGAGACCCACAAGGATCACCAAGTCCAACTTTTAAGGGAATAGTCCATCTGGGGACTGAACCCAAGACCTTGGCATTCTTAGCATTGTGCTCTGACCAGCTGAGCTAGAACTGTGGAACTGTTAGGAAAGCAACACTAAACCACAGTCAGACATTTAGCATTTAACTCTGGTGCCCCACAGGGAACTGATGATGAGGCCACTCTTAGCAGCACAATGTCCTAGCACCACTTGCAGAAGAACCCTCTGGAAATGTTAACTCTTTTTAGATGTTATTTTCTTAGGTTATAAAATTAAGACTTTAGATCCTCTCAGCTACACCCACCCTCTGTCTAGTCTTTCAGTGTTGCCAACCCCAATGTCCAAGCACAGAATGGGAGCCAAGCCAAGCACTAGAAATAAATTCTCACTAAACTTGGTGCTTACTACATTTTAAAGCTACCCCTAATTTTTTACCTGTTGAATTCTGGGAGTGCTTCCAGGTCCAGGAGAGCAGAATGGGTTGTAATTCTGCCCACTTCAAACTGGGAGATCAGCTCCTCCAAAGTCCTCCCCATCTGGTTCTCTGGAACACAAGCCACAGGGAATCACAGGGCTCTGAACAACGAGCTCTCCTCACTGCACGGGGCTGGGCCAGCAGCACACTGAGCAAAGGTGACACAGGACAGCCACCTGTGCAGTGCCAGCAGCAGCAGGGACATCCCCCAGCAGGCAGGAGGGAACTGGCAGCAGGCACACACGGGATGCTGCTTTGGGGAATTCTGCTTGGCTCCTGTCCCCTCCCTCAGCAGAACACCTCCCCTCAATCAGTCAAAGAGAGGTCACACTCAGCCAGGAGGCTGCACTGCCCACGGAAGATTTCATTCCCAGGCAGAGTTCTCAGAACACAAATTAATTTGTGATCCCCACAGCAAGAAGCACAAAAGGAGACATTGACTCAACTCCTCGTGGTCTGTCAGGTTAAAGGAAAGGGAGCACAGGTGTCAGACAACACTGCAATTATTAACCACAGAATGCAAGTTCTCCCAAGACTTCACAGAGTTTCTCAGCCTTGAAGTGAGGGTTTTGCCAAGGAGAACCCATTAAGAACCTGACTCAATTTTAAAGGCTGCACAGATTTCCACCATTCCAGCTCCTTCCACAGGAGCTCTGCAGAAGGTCTGGTGACACCCATTCCCTGACCCCTTCAAACACTGACAAAGTTCTCAGCTATCAAAATAAGCCCAGCCCAATCTACAAAGCCAGCATGAAGTGAGCTGGCAGTGGTGTTACCTGTGAACCCCGAGCCACAGTTGGTGACAATGTCCAGCAGTGCCTCTGGCAGGAAGCCATCCCGAGCAAAGCGCTCCAGGAAAATGTCCCCCTGCCTCTTGGACAGCTTGCCACCGTCCTTGTTCAGCAGCAGCGGGAGGTGCCCAAACTGAGGGGGCTCCCAGCCAAAGGCCTTGTAGAGAAGCAGGTGCTTGGAGGTCGAAGTCAGCCACTCGGTGCCACGCAGGACGTGGGTGATGCCCATGTAGTGGTCATCCACCACGTTTGCCAGGTGGTACGTGGGGAAGCCATCCCCCTTGAGAATCACGGGGTCACCTTCCACGTCTGCCACCTCGTGCTTGTTCCAGCCATAGACCAGGTCCTGGAAGGGCTCCACGCCCTTCTCCAGGCGGAAGCGGATGACACAGTCCAGGCCCTGGGACAGCTTCTGGGCCACCTCCGCGGGCGCCAGGTGCCGACAGCGGTTGTCGTATCTTTGGGAAACGACAACAAAGGCCGACACCGTCAGCCATTTTTACACGCCCAAAACTCTAAGCAGGCACCCGAATTTTAGCTGTAACCTGCCCACTACGCACTACCAACACCTCATCCCTGGAGGGCAACACGTGCCTTCCCTCCCTAGGGGCAGCGAGGCACAATCCCATTGCTCCGGGGCTTTGAGAAAGGGTACAGCCCTGAGGGGCACAGGCACAGGGATGTACCAGCCCCGAGGGCCACAGGCACAGGACGTACCGCGGGGTCTGCTGGCGGCGCAGAGCGTCCCTGCGCAGCAGCTCCAGGCGCTGGGGGCTGCAGAAGCAGCGGTAGGCAGCCCCGCTGGCCAGCAGTGCTGCGCTGGCCTGCCCGTACAGCTCCAGCCTCAGCGACTGCACGTAGGGCCCGGCGGGGCCGCCACGCCCGGGGCTCTCGTCCGGGGGGATACCTGCAACACAGGCACGGCAGCAGGTGAACAGCCGGGCTGCCAAAACAGCCCAAAGGCAGAGTCAAACCCGCCCCCCAGCTGAGCACTGTTAGCCTCTAATAGAAAGGTGAGGTTTCAGTAGGTGAAAAATTAAAAATGTTTCTAAATACCTGCCCAGTTCAACATATCTTCTATTCCTTCTGCAGCTCCGGGCACCACCCGATTCTGATCTGTATCCTCCACTCTTAAAATAAAAGTCCCTCGGTGTTTTTTGGCAAAGATATAATTGTACAAAGCAGTCCTAAGGCCACCTAAATGCAGAAAACCTGTAATCGTGGAGAAATCAGAGGAGGTGGTCACAAGGAAGACCCAGGGGAGAGTTCTAAATATGAGCTGGAAGGGCGGTGGATGCTGCCTGCGATAGCAGCATCGCCAAGGCACCGCAGGAACACAGCTCCGGGGGCACTGGCTGTGAAAATGACGACGACTCCCAGGAACAGAGTCCCTCTGAAATGACCTGAAAATCCCTTATAAGCTGGCACATGCCAGAAACAGCACTGCCACGGTACACCGACAGTGACCCCGCACGACCAGGAGGGCACCGGGACACGCTGGAAGGGCGAGTCCGGGAGCTTCGGCGGGAGCACACAGGGGAAGCAGCAGCCTCCCTCACCACATACGCCCCCCGAGAGTCCGAACTGATGTTTTCCAACCCAAAACTCCGCCCCCGCCGCAGCAGAGCCCCAGGGGTGGGGCTGCCGAGGGGTCGGTTACCTGTGGGGCTGGGCCCGAACCGGACCCGCGGTCCCCGCTCAGGGCCGGGGCCGGGGCCGGGGCCGGGGCCGGGGCCGGGGCCGGGGCCGGGGCCGGGGCCGGATCCCAGTCCCGGTCCCGCCGCGCAGCGCAGCGCGCGCAGAACTCGCGCCATCCCGCCACGCGCCCACGTGGCTGCGGCGCCGCTTCCGCCCGGCCGTGGCAGCCAATCCCCGCACGCGTCACCGCCGGGGGCGGGGCGTCCCTTAAAGGCACCACCGCCCACTTCGTTCTGTCACACGAGGGGACCGCGGCCGCTGCCACGGGCCCGAC